CATTGGGTTGGATTTTAAACAATGATGAGACTGAGTACAGGAAAGAGATAGAGACTTTAGTGGCATGGTGTAAAGACAACAATCTTTCCCTCAATGTTAGCAAAATGAAGGAGATGGTCATTGGCTTCAGGAATCAGCGTGGAGGACATGCCTGTCTGTATCAAATGGTGCTGAGGTGGAGATGGTTGAAAGTTACAAATTCTTAGAAGCTAATATCAACAATCTGTCCTGGTCCATGCACGTCGACACGCCGGTCAAGAAAGCACAACAACGCCTCTACTTTCTCAGAAGGCTAAGGAAATTTGGCATGTCCACAATGACTCTTACCAATTTTTACAGATACACCATAGAAAGCATCCTATCTGGATATATCACAGCTCGATATGGCAACTGCTCTGCCCAAGACCACGAGGAATTACAGAGAGTTGTGAACGCAGCCCAGTCCATCATGCAAACCCGCCTTCCATCCACTGACTTCATCTATATTTCCCGCTACCTTGGGAATGCAACCAACATGTTCAAAGTCCCATTCCACTCCAGTTATATTCGCTTCCATCCTCTTCCATCAAGCAGAAGATATAGAAGTTTGAAAACACGTACTAAGGATTCAAGAACAGCTTCTTCCCCGCTGTTACCATACTTACGAATGGACCTCTCAAATGTTAATTCTGATCTCTGCACTTTCTCTGTGGCTGTAACACTGTATTCTGCATTCTGATCTATTACCCTGATGATCTTATCATAGACATGATTTGCCTGGATAGCGCAAAACAATACTTTTCAGTGTATCTCAGTGCATGTGACAACAATAAATCAAATCAATGCACGTATCCTGATGGACATGATCTATGTGAAGGTCAGAACTTTTCTCAGACAGTAAAGAAAATATGTGAAGAATCAGAATCAGAGTTAATTTACATTTGGTGGATTTTTAAAGCTGAGGGTCATGTTAAAACAGCAAACAAATAATTCCTCATCAGCTTTATCTATAGATGAGTATTGAGTAATTACCTCACTTTACTCATCCCATATAGGCTACTTGGAAATAACTTTCAGCATGTAAAAATCATTCTCGACATCTTCACGTTGTTATATATTTGCTGCCTAACTGACGAGCGATAGAGCTACCCAACACCCCGAGTCAAGAGTACAATTGATACTGCCTCTACTGCCATCTTATTGAGGATCAGCGAGTGCGCAGATTTAAGCTCTTAGCTATTAGGAATTAAAATGTTCATTGAATCATTCTGTTCATTTTAGTAAAGGGGAAGAGCAAAGAACAATGAATTAGAACATCCAACTTGGAAAAGATCCAATTTTAATGGGATAAAACAGGATCTAACCAAAATGATAAAATGGAATCAAAGACTGACAAGAACAACTGTAATGTAACAATGAGGTACCTTTAAGGCAGAGATATTTTAGGTACACAGTAGGTACATTATAAGAGGGAAAGGCAAGTAAACAAAGTCAAGGCTTCTTGAATGATGAGTGAGAATGACAAATTGCTGAAGCAAAATAAAAAGAGTTGTAAGGACATATCAAACGAAATCTTCAAAATGAAAGCTGAGGGGTGAAGAGAAAAGTGAAGAGAAAAGAGTGCAAGAGAGAACATAGAACAGAATGGCAGTCAGCAAGGAACAGAGTACAGTTTTTTTTTCTACCAGGATGTAAATATTAAGGGAGTTGTCAAAAGGAAGTGATGGGGCCTACTAGGATCAAAAAAATTGATGTATGTTGTTATGTTTTTATTCATTTAAGGTACGTGGGCTTTGCTGGCTGAGCCAGAATTTAATATCCTCATTAGTTTCCCCTTGAGAAGGTGGTTGAGAGTTACCTTCTTGAACCATGGCAGTCCATCTGGTACACACACAATACTGTTATGAGACTTCCAGTTTTTTGACACAGAGACACTAAAGGAATGGAAATATATTTCCAAGTTAGGATTGCAACTGGCTTGGAGGAGAACTGGCAGGTGGTGTATCCACGTATCTGCTGCCCTTGTTCTTCCAGATAGCAATAGTGCTGGGTTTGGAAGGTGATATCTGAGGAGCTTGGTGAACTTCTGAGTGCATCCTGTAGGACTATTACCAGACAGTGTCAGTGATGGAATATTGTATTTGGATATTGTGCCAAACAAGCAGGCGGTCTTGTCCTGGATGGTGACGAGCTTCTGAATGATATTAGAGCTACACTGATCCAGGCAGATGAGGAGTATTCCATCACACTCCTGAACTATGCTTTGTCGATAGAGGACAGGTTTTGGAGAATCAGGAGCTGTTTTCCCTTAATATTTTATTCTGTTGCACAGACCTCTGAGGGCCATGCACATGGAAGCCTGATTAAGATCCTGACTGCATGCCAGAGTGGCTGATCAGGATTAAGGAGGAGTTAGTCACTACATGATTCTGGATTTCTGACCAGCACTTGTAGCCACAGAATTAACGTGTCTCGTCCAGTTCAGTCTTTTATTGATGGCAACCCTAAGGTGTTGACAGTGGGTGATTCTGCAATGTTAAGACCATTGAATATCAACTTGCATTGATTAGATTCTATCCTGTTGGAAACACAGTCTTTGTCTGGCACTTACATGGTGCAAATCTTACTTGCCACGTGTCAGCCCAAGCCTGGATTCTGTCCAGGTTTTGCTGCATTTGGAGATGGGCTGCTTTAGTATCCGAGGAGTTAAAATGGTGCTAAACATTGTTCAATTAGAGAACATCCCCACTTCTGACCTTATGATTGAAGGATGGTCATTATTGAAGCAAAAGAGGATGGCTTAGCTTACAACACTAGCAGGACACATTGAGAGAGGAGTTAGAAAAGCATGTGATTTTGAGCTTCATAACTGGAGGTATAAAATACAAAAGCAGTGAAGTTATGCTGTCATGCTGAAATGCTCACAAAACTCTATTTAAGTTACTACTAGATTACTGCATCTTGTTCTCATCATCACACTTCAGGAGGAATACGAAACTTCTTCAAAAGGATATGGAGATTTACCAAAATGATTCCAGGAATAACAGAATTTAGCAATAAAGTTTGGTTCAAGAAGACGGGGTCATTCCTGTTGGAGTGAAATGGCAAGGGGAGATCTAATGGAAGCATATTAGATTAGGACAGGTTTAGATTAGGTGGAAAAATAAATTTGTTTCAATAAGCCAATTGGACAACGTGGGCACACAGATGTAAGGTTTTGATCAAGAGGTGCATAGGGACATGAGGAAGAATTTTCTTTTAAAAATGAGGCACAAGATAATGATCTAAAATACAATCTAAGCGAATCATCATAGAATCTCTAAAAGGATGTGCAGGCTAGGTGGATTAGCCATGGTAAATGCAAGATTACAGGGATAGGATAGGGGGATGGGGTCTGGGTGGGATGCCGTTCGAAGGGCTGGTGTGGACTAAATGGGCTAAATGGCTTGTTTCCACACTTAAAAGTGTTTTTATGATTCTGTTCTGAAGGTTCAAAAACAGTATAGCAACTGGTGGCAAGGTTAATTATAGAGTCATAGAGCCATACAGCAAGCCCTTTGGTCCAACCTGTCCATGCCGAGCAGGTTTCCCAAACTAAATTAATCCCATCTGCCTGCCTTTGGTCCACATCCGTCTAAACTTTTCCCATTCATGCACCTGTCCAAATGTCTCTTAAGTGTTGCAATTGTACAGAATTTTAAAATTAAATTAGATAAAAGCCTAACTATTTTATTAAATTTTATATTTACTAAAGTAGTTAATTAGAACACATTAAGGTTGGCAGGACAGCTGATGCATCACAGTTGCAGCAAGTGGAACTTTTGGGTGTGAGTGTGATCCAGGGCAAACATTTTAGCAGTAAAGTCCAAACAGCTTTGACACAGAGTTTGTAAGCTGAAGTTTGCACAACAAGACATTGTAATGCAGCAGGGAAGGAAAAGGCGGCAGTCACACCTCTTAGGGAAGCGACTTTGATTTGATCAGTGTGACTGTTACTGAGGCAAGTAAGTGGACCCAGAAGAGAAGAGCACACGAGCCTCAGCTTTTGAAACTATCCAACAGGTTTAATGTTCTTTCAGCTTGTTTGAGAGACAATAGGGACTGCACAGCAGATAAGCCAGCTGACCATGTCACTGTGTAACAGGAAGCCATTCAAGTTGAGGGAGGGAACAGTATAGCTGAAGGGATTGATATCATTCTCTGCAGCAAAGAACAATAGTCCACAAGGTTACATTGCCTGCTCGAGGCATCTGCTCAGGGCTGAGGAGGAACTTGCAGTAGGAGGCAGGAGATTACAATAGTGAGAGATTGTATCGCTCTAAGATGCAGAGGAATATTGCATGAAACACAAAAGTCTAGTATATAGGTACAGGGACTAATTAGGAAAGCTAATAGAATGCTATCATTTATTGCAGGGGAATTGAATACAAAAAGTAGGGACACATTATGCATCAGTCATACAGGGCTGGTGAGACTACGCCTGCAGCACTGCATACAGTATTCGTCACCATAAGGGACATATTGAAAGCACTTCACAAAAGGTTGACCAGATTAATCTCTGGAATAGGTGTTTTGTCTAATGAATAAAGATTGGACAGGCTAGGCCTGTCCACTGGAGTTTTCAAAAGAAAAAGGTAACATTAATTGAAACATAAGATCCTAGGGGTCTTAAGAGGAAACATCCTGCTCACAGCTATCCGATCAAGGTGGAATGTAGAATTGGGGCCATTTTTTAAAAGTCTAGGGGTTGCCCATTTAAAACAGACAGCAGGAGGAAAAACTCTCTTTCTGAAAAGGCAGTGGATGCAAAGTTTTTAAATGTGTTAAAGCAGAGGTGGATAGATTCTCGATAAGGAGAGGGTGATAGGTTATCAGGGGAGGCGTAAACATGGATCTGAGATTGCAATCAGAACAGCCGTGATCTATTGATGTTCCGAGTACATGTGAGTTACCAGTCTATAATGATTTCTGTATTTTGATCATGCATGTAATACTTGAAATGAAACAATAACTAACAATACCTCAGCTCCGCCCATCCATTTGGGGTAGTCTGGAAATTCAGCACACAATACATCCTCTGACTGTTGAAATCCCAATATATGATAGTATAATTTCTGGTGAAGGTTCATTGATGTTTCAGTCCCTGGCAAGAAAATTGACAATAAGAGATTTAGCTTAATCATGTTCATAAATGCTTTTCTGTAAACAAAATCATTTATTCAAGTGATAATTAAATTTGGAACAGAAACAAACATTAAAAGAAAAAAACAAGGCAGTCATCATTTGTAAATAGAAATGGCAGGATTGCTTTGGGCATCTAAGAGGTCAACGTTGACTTTAGTAATAGATCCACTGCACATCGAGCAAGTTCAAGAAATAACATACAATAAGATATCCTATCCGGATAATTGTATAACTTTGCCTAGGATTAGAAATTGATTCGATCTTATTTAAGGATTTCAATTTTGTTCTGACTTATAAATACCTTTTGAATTTGTAGAGTAGTCAAAAGTAACAAAATGGTTAAGTTGTTAATTCCAGAGATGCTTCAGGGTTTAATGTAACAGCAAAATCTAGCTGACTGGGCGACTTATTTTCTACTGCGATACAGAATGCTAATTCTTGCTCATTGACAAGACTTTGTAAATACATTGCGAAGTGATAGCCTTGAGATAGAAAAGGGGATAAAGATGATTAGTTACATGAAAAATGATGAAACAAGTTTGCTCATCTGGAGCTTGTGATGAATCAAGTCACCTTCTTCTCATAACTAATGTCATATCATGATGTTTAGAGGATATGGCTTGAGAGTGAAAAAGGTCTTGCCTCTCCAATTGTGTAGGAGAGCGCAAGAACTAAAAATATTGATGATCTTGGATCTCAAAATAGTGGGCAGAAGTGCAGAATATAATCTTGAGAAAACTTTAATCTTCTATTTTGCAACAGAGTAATAATGCACAACAAACCTCCTTAGATGGTGAAGAAACTTCCTTAGATAGTCTTTAACTTGAGAATATTGACATATGTCTCTCCAACTTAAAGGGAAACCTCTAATGGATAATCTAAGACTAACCATGGATTGAGTATTTAACAAAAATCAGGATGGCCAAAGACCACTGCTCCAAATAGATTATAAGAATATATTAAAAATGGAAGACATTTCCAGGGTTTTGACCTAGCAACAGTGAAGAAACATTGCAGCAAAAGCAAAAAAAATGCTGGAGATCACAGCGGGTCAGGCAGCATCCATAGAGAGAAGAGTCATCTAGACTTGAAATATTAGCTTGCTTTTTCTCCATGGATGCTTCCTGACTTTGTGATCTCCAGCATTTTGTGGTTTCAGTACAGATTCCGGCATCTGCAGTAATTTGCTCCCAAGAAATGTTGCAGGTCGTGTTTGCACGCATCTGACGTCATTATCTTTCTGGGTGGCAAAGGTCACAGGTTTCAAAGATGCACTCAAAGAATTCTTGGCGAGTTGCCACAGTCCATCTTGTAGATGACAAAGTACAAAGTACAGTCACAGAGAAAAAGAGAGACAGACAGACAGTTAGAGAGATATAGACTGGCTGTCGTGTCCTGGATGATATTAAGGTTCTTAAACTGTGTTGGAGCTAGGCTCATCCAGACATTTGGACAGTATTCCACTTTGGTTTATGGACTGCAGACTTTGGAAGTCAAAGTTAGTTAGCAGAATTCCAAGCCTCTAACTTGCTCTTGTAGCCATAATACTTATAAGCCAGATCCTGTTCAGTTTCTGATCAATGGTAACTTCTAAGATGTTGATTCTGGGGGATTCAGTGGTGGTAATCCGTTGAATATCGAAGGGGCGATGGTTAGGTTTTTTGAGGATGGTCATTGCCTGGCATTCGTATGATGTGAATGTTAATTGTCACTTATCAGTCTAACCTGGTTGTTGGGGCACATAATAATGGACTGCTTCAGTATCCGAGTTGGCATGAATAGCATTGAAAATTGAGCAAGCATCTCCACACATCTCCACTTCTGGCCTTAAGATGGAGGGATAATCATTGAAGCAACTGAGATAGTTCGGCCTAAAACCCTACCCTGAGGAACTCCTGCAGAACGGTCCTGGACCTGGGGTGACTGATCTCCAGCATTCAATACTCGTACCAGATTTTTATCCACCCACTCAACCTAACTATATATGCCTGTATCCTTGTTATGTCCTCTTGACAATGTGCTTTCCAACCTAACCTTTTCGTCACTTGTAAATTTAGCTACCCTGCCTTCACCACACTCAAAAAGTCATATCTATAAAGTACAAAAGCTAAGATCCAGCACAGACCCGGCAAGAATCCACTATTTACATTCTGCCAATTGGAAAAATACCTGTTTATGCATACTGCATTTTCTGCCAATTAGCCAATCTTCTTATTCATGCTGGGTTACCCCCCACACTATGGTTACTGTGCAAAGCAGAAAATCATTCATGTGGCACCTTGTCAAATGTGTGATGTAAGGTGCCAGATAAAAAATTTACATTTGTTTATTTTTCATTTCTGAATTTTAAACTAGTGGCACATAGTTGGTATGTAAAAGAGTTACGCCTAAGAAGATAAGAACTAGGAGCAGGAGTAGGCCATCTGGCCCCTCGAGCCTGACCCGCCATTCAATAAGATCATGGTTGATCTTTTTGAAACTCAGCTCCACTTAGCTGCCCACTCACCATAACCCTTAATTCCTTTACTGTTCAAAAATTTATCTAGCCTTGCCTTAAAAACATTCAGCGAGGTAGCTTCAACTGCTTCACTGGGCAGACAGTTTAGGGAGATAGTTTAGGGCTGTTAAGGTACAGGTTACCTCTGTCAAAGAAATTTAGTTCAAAACTTTCCAGCTACTTAAAATCTGAAAAAGTCCAAGCTCAGTTGTATGAAAAGATCAAGGAATAGCTATCAGATTCAAGATAGGGAATTGAAGCCAGTTAAAGCGAGCTTGGAAGGATTGGTAGAGAAGAGTACGAGAAGGGTACCAGACTTCTCTTTGGAATGAGGAATGCTTTTGAGGTTTTTGGAATTTTATTTTACAGCATTTCAATATCTTTGGCATCAAATGTAAATAGTTTGGTATATTCCATTTAATGTTTTACCAAAACCATGCTGACTCTTGGGTTAAAAATGGTTCAGTGGTATGGGTAGCAGTGGTTCAGAGGATAGCACGGATGCCCCAAAGCGTCGAGGACCCAGGCTCAATTCCAGCACTGGGTGACTGTCTCTGTGGGTTTCCTCCCACACTCCCAGGGATTAGGTGGGATACTCTTCAGAGGGTCAGTGCAAACCCGATGTGCTGAAAGAGGGCTTCAGCCTTGTCGGGATTCAATTAATCTTACCAATTGCTTTTTTCCCCCCCAAAAAATCTTCGCTTTTATTTAAATTATTACAGAGTGAATTCCACATGATAGCATTGTTAATGACACTTTTCATGCCTTTGCAGATGATTGAGAGTAGAATGATGGGGCAGTAATTAGCAGAGTTGCATCTGACCTGTATTTTGTGAACATGAAATACATTGGCAATTTTCTACTTTGCCAGGTAGATGCAAATGTCGTAGATGAGCTTATTGCAGTGGAGCTAAGGGCCCAGCTAGTTCTGGGTCATGTGGAGGTGGTCGAGAATGTCAAGTTCACGGGATTGATGATCACCAACAATCTATTCTGGTTTACCCACGTCACCCTGTTGGTCAAGAAAGCAAATTCTTTTTTGCCGATTCTTTTTTGACAGATGCACCATAGAAAGTGTCTTGTTCAGATGCATCATAGCTTGATATGGCAACTACTCTGCCCAAGACTGCAAGAAACTACACAGACAGAGTCGTGAACATAGTCCAGTTCATCACCCAAACCAGCCTTCCATCCACTGATTTCACCTATGCTTTCTGCTGCCTCGGGAATACAACCAATATAATCAAAGACCCCTCCCAGCCCAGTTATACTCTTTTCCACCCTCTTCCATTGGGCAGAAGATATAAAAGGTTGAATGCATGCACAAAAGGATTCAAGAACAGCTTATTCCCTGCTGTTATCCAACTTTTGAATGAACCTCTCAAATGTTAATATTGATCTCTCTCTCTGCACCCTCTCTGTGGCTATAACACAGTTCTGCACTCTGTATGTTATGCTCTGCCTATACAGCACACTAAACAACACTTTTCACTGTATCTCGGTACATGTGACAACTTTAAAATCAAACAAGTGTCTAAACTTGAATCAGAGATAGTAGGAACTGCAGATGCTGGAGAATCCGAGACAACAAGGTGCAGGGCTGGATGAACACAGCAGGCCAAGCAGCATCATAGGAGCAGAGAGGCTGACGTTTCGGGCCTAGACCCTTCATCAGAGAAGGGGGAGGGGAAGGGGGTTTTGAAATAAATAGGGAGAGAGTGGGAGGCGGATAGAAGAGGGATAGAGGAGAGGAAACAAACAGGTCGAAGAGGCGGGGATGGAGCCAGTACAGGTGAGTGTAGGTAGGGAGTTAGGAAGGGGATAGGTCAGTCCAGGGAGGACGGACAGGTCAAGGGGGCGGGATGAGGTTGGTCGGTAGGAGATGGAGGTGCGGCTTGAGGTGGGAGGAGGGGATAGGTGGGAGGAAGAACAGGTTAGGGAGGCAGGGACGAGCTGGACTGGTTTTGGGATGCGGTAGGGGGAGGGGAGATTTTGAAACTTGTGAAATCATGAACTCTCCGACACCTCCTCCTACCGCCCCCTTGATCATGACCCCACCCCTGAACACCAAACCATCATCTCGCAAACCATCCACAACCTCATCACCTCAGGTGACCTCCCACCCACGGCCTCCAACCTCATCGTTCCCCAACCTCGCACTGCCCGCTTCTATCTCCTTCCCAAAATCCACAAACCTGAATGCCCTGGTCGACCCATTGTCTCCGCCTGCTCCTGCCCCACCGAGCTGATCTCCAACTATCTAGACTCCATTTTCTCCCCCTTGGTCTAGGAACTCCCTACCTATGTCCGTGACACCACCCACGCCCTCCACCACCTCCAGAACTTCCAATTCCCCGGTCCCCAACACCTCATCTTTACCATGGACGTCCAGTCCCTCTACACCTGCATTCCCCATGCAGATGGCCTTAAGGCCCTCCGCTTCTTCCTGTCCCGCAGGCCCG